TGCTAACCGCAAAATTTGTGGTCAAACGCAAAACAACCAAGTCAGTTCTCCCACTGTATCACAAAGGCTTTGGACTATTTTGACAGTTTTTTGTGGATTGTTTTGATAGGTTTTGTAGAAGAATTTTGGACATCAATGTGCAGTGGGAAGCAGGGTGTTTTGGGCTATTTTATGTAGGATTTGAGACAAGGCATTTGGTAGTAGGTTTTGTGGCATCTTGTGAGCAGTATGGGGTAGCAGCAGGTTCTGTTTTTGGAAGTATACAAGTTTAGGACAACAACTTGTCATGAAAGTCAAAGCATGAAGATGGTTCATGTTTTGAAAATTAAAGTTTAGGCTTAAAAAAGAATCCATGTAATCTTGTAGTATTGTGAAAACTAGAGTTGAGTGTAATTCTATTTCAATTTCTTTGTAATTGAACGAATTTTGATGAAAGAAAACAATCGAATCACTTGACATTTAAATCATTATATTTTATCTTGATAAAACTTGAAATCCCCCACTTGAATGGTTTGGATGATTGACATGAAAATTCTTGTGTCTTTGTAGACTTGGTGATAGAAAAATAGGCATATAAGTACTGAAACTCTTGTGATGTAATTTGGAATTATGAGCACAATTTAATTCTTCTTTGTAAGCTTAGAACTTGAATAGAATGTGAATTTGGATTCCATAACATGAATTTTATTTGATTTGACATGTAAGCCTTTCCTTGCATACAAAACATTAAAAAAGGGAAATTGATTAATGAACTTGATGAATATTGAATGTACTTGAATAGTCGTGAATTTTTGAATTTGAATGAGTGTTGTAACTTGAAGATGATGAATCAAATAATGTGGATGTTGCTTGAACTTGGTTTGAATTCAACATTTGTATATCATCTCATGGTTTCATAAGAACTTGTGCTCAAAACAAACTTGTATGTCGCGCTCGACTCAACTGAACATTAGTTGCCAAACTTGAATTCAACCTCTTGCACGAAGTTAAAAAGGATAACTTGTACCATAAGCAACTGTTCTCAAATCCTTGTATCTAAAGAAATGATTGATTGCGGAAAGTTTCCTAGAATTCATGTCTCATATATTGACCAATGTCTTGTAACTCAGGCAACTAGATGCAGGCTCTTATCATAAGAAAATTCAATGTAACTTTATCCATATGTGCATTAAGTGATGATCTTGGTCGAAGCCCTAATCAAAATTGATGCACACAAGCATAAGAGAGTGTATCTTGACCCATGAACGATAGAAGAATTTTCTTCTCTTTATTCCAGCCCTCGATAAGAATTCTAGTTAAATGACTTATATTGCAAGTAGTTGATAGAAGATCTCAAGCAAACTCAAACCCATATTACGAATAAAGGGTCCCATGATGATAGAGGGACAAAACCTAATTCAAAAAATCTTAGCCGAAATATCTTGGTGAAAACCCTCAAAACCCTGGTGTAATATGGTGGGAGAACTGACTTGGTGTTTTGCGTTTTATCGCAATTATTGTGGATAGCAAGAGTTGCCACCGAATTTTCTTTTATCCAATAAAGGAAAGGTTGAAAAGAACGGGAAAGACATTTTGAGAATTTTCTTGAGTTTTGGGGGTAGATTATGAAAAGGGAAGGTGTTAGAACCCTTTTCATCCGTAGTTATCTACAGGCTTTTAATTGCTAGCTCACTTTGAAATGCTTTGTGTTTTGTGTAAGTTTTGAAAATATTTTGAAAACGCCTTCGTGCGGAAAACTTTGTAATGATTCTCGTATCATAGAGAATGTATACAAATTGTTGGTTTTGAAAATATTTGTTATTTGGAAAATGTTTGAAAGATGTTTTTGAAAGTGTGAGGTGTGAAGATTGTTTTGATTTATGAACAAGCGATTATGAGCAATTTACTGACTCAAAAAGTCTTTGTTCTTTTCCTCCTCCTTTAGATATTTCTATCCTACCATTGATTGTTAGGAAGCCCTATTATCGGATGTGAGGGACAGGCGTGGGTCGCCTTACAATCATAGAAAGCAACTTGTAAGACGCTTTAGCAATTTTTGCAAGGGACTAAGATCGTTTTACCGAAGGCAAGATTGAAGGGTCATCGAGGTACTACGATCGTTTTTTATCGAGGGTCTTTGCTAAAGCATCCCATATTCGAGGGACATGACTGTTTTTCTGAGGTAACAAGCGAGGTTACCCTAGAGGTGCGCATGTGAAAAGTGTGTTTGATTCAAGTTTAATTTATCTTGATTTAGGGTTGTCTAGCAGTCAATTTTAAATCTTGCCATACACGCCTAATTACTATACAATATAAGGAAATGCGATAAAGTGAAGAAAATAAAATTCTACACTATTACAATGCTTCGGGAATGGGGGTACAAATTTATGAATGGGGATGAAGTAAAAAAATCCAAGTTAAACTATTACAAATTGTAAATAGTTACAATAATCGAAAGAATGCGAAAATAGTAAATTATAAAGAAAAGAAAAGGGAATTTGTTTTTTATGATTTTATCAAGTAAGCGAATTAAATCAAATAAAAAGCGCTATGAACGAAAATTCAAGAATTAAAACTCTAAATAATATTTTTGGTATTTTGTTTGTGAGAAAATTTGAAAAGAAAATAAAGACCTATTCTATTATTTTTTAGAATTTTCATCATGTAGAAACTAAACAATTTAAAAGAAAGTTAACTAAACAATAAAATATTAATTAACAAAATTATTCACAAAGTCCTAAACTAAACTAATTAAGAAAATTAACTAGTTTAGAAACTATATTTTTATTTAATTGTATTTTTAAAATCTAAACTAAAGGTTAAGAAAATTATTAAAACAAGATAAAATGGAGGGTTTGAAGAATAATTAAGGGAGATGGGGTAAGTAATTCGTTGGGCCTGAGGATGAAATTAGGGCAGAGGCCCATATGTTTGTAACAAGATAAACAAAACAAATAATAAAAAAATCACCTGGGCCGAACCGGGTTTGAGGGTCCGGACCCAGCCCCTAACTTAAGATCACACGGGTTAAAATAACCCTAAAACAAGCTATTGCGACTCAGTCTCGTACCCTTCCACTTTTCTTTATTCCTCGTGCTATTCCTCTCAAATACTTCCCCCTGTTTCAAAATGTAAACTCCCTATGTACTTCAATCCCTAATCTCATCTCTCTCTTCTTCAACAAACTCGTCGCCGCCCTTCTAATCTCTTGCGGCCTCTCTCTGTAAATCAATAATAATAATGAAAAATTATTGATATTCATCTCCCTGGGCTTCAGTTCTTATCTCACACGCCATGGAAATAAACACACTTGGTCTCTCTCGACCTCACACTCTCAACAACGACCATCACTTTCTCTCGAACGACTCATCATCAAACCAAACCCGGAAACTCGATGCAAACCCTTACCCCCAAGTTTCATATTCATATTTATAGGAAAATTACGGATAAAAGATGAAGATGAAATGAGGGAACAACAATAATGAATAGACAAAAGGTATGAATCTGACATGTTCTTCGGTTATTCTACTATTCACATTTTGAATCTCTATTGTTCTTCTTCTTTTTTTATTTCATGTGGTTGTTGTCTTTGTGTTGTTAATCGAACTTAATGATGCATGCAGTGTGAAGGTTCGGTCGTAGACGAGCTAATTTGAAGAACAATGATGATGTCTGCTCAGTTTGGAGACGACGAAATTCGGTGGTGGGGTTTCAGAAGTTAAAAAGTCGCTTTATGGTTTCAACGGAGATGTGAAACTGTTGCAGAAGCGAAAGGGTGAGGTTTGTTTAGAATAGGTTAACGCCGGTGGACTTGTGAAGAAATTGGGTGAGTTATCGGTGTTGGATGGAGGTATAGTTTATATGTTGTTTCTGTATCCTGCTAAGTTTCTTGTGTTTATTTCTGTATATTGTTTTTTGAACTGATTTGTAAAGCTCTTTCAAATAGAGAGGATGAATAAAATTTGGTAGGAGTTGAGTGGTGCGAAGGTGCGAAGGCAGAAATGACTTTTTACATCGGGTGAAACTGACTTTTTACATCGGTTCTGGGTCCGATGTAAAGTCTGGCGATATAGTAAATCAGGTACTTTTTACATTGGTTCTGGGACCGATGTAAAAAGTCCCTTTTTTACATCGGTTATAATATAAGAACCGATGTAAGAAACAGTTATTATGCACATTTTTTTAAAAAATGATATAATTTTTTACATCGGTTGGAAGTAAAACCCAATGTAAAAAGTCCCTTTTTTATATCGGTTATAATATAAGAACCGATGTAAGAAACAATTATTATGCACATTTTTTAAAAAAATTGACCCAATTTTTTACATCGGTTGGAAGTAATATCCGATGTAAAAAGCCCCTAGTGACGCAACTTTTTACAACGGTTATTACTCCCAACCGATGTAAAAAGTCCCTTTTTTGAAAGTTTTTACATCAGTTTTGAGTAATAACCGATGTAAAATGTATGAAATTTTTTTGGAATAGATTATTTATTTTCTGGATGTTTCCCTGTACAAATATAATTTGTACCCATTTTTTCATATTTTTCCAATATCACACTGACTATATTTATGTCGCTATATAGATTTCATAGCTTTCCAACATCACATATATCACATCTAGATCGATGTTTTCATATTTTTCACAACAAACTTACAAATTGAACAATTGTATTGCAAACTTTAATTGTATTACAACAAACAAACTCACAACAAACTTACAATTATAAATTCTTCACAAAATATACAACAATATTCAACTATTTATAAGTCTTTTTCAAAACTTACAATTACATATTATTCACAAAATATACAAAAATATTCAACTATTTCTAAGTTTCCAAACTTAAATTACCAATATAAAATCTTCGGTAGAGAACACCAAAATCACATTGCCTGACAATAAATAATAACAATTAACATCAGCAAAAAAAATCAAGAAACTCAATACATGTGCAAAAACCACATGTATTGTGCAAAAACCACAACTTATACAATTCTATAAAACTCACAAAGATAAACTTAATTTTCATGTAACTCAAAGAAACATTTTGGCCAACGAAGTCGCAAATCATACAAATCATCTGGTGTTAATTCTGTTGGGTCATCAAATACCTATAATACATAAATATAACAATATAGAGTTATTTTTTAAAAATTCATATTAAGTCGAAAAATAAAAAGTAAATAACAAATTAAAGTTATTTTTAGTACCTGCATCCAATTCTCGGTTATATTAGCAGAGACAATATCCAACATATTTTTCATCACATAGTATCCACAATCATTAGAGTTATGTTGTTGTCTTGTCTACAATTGAATGACATAATTAGTGAATATTTATCATAAATTTAACTATAGAATTACAATTTACATCACACTTACATTGGGATGAAGCCATGTAGCCTTTTTTCCTCTCCATCGCTCTCCTGCATATTTAATCCATTCTTTCTTCAACCTATCCTTCTTTGAGCCAGTGACTTGTGGTTTAACAAACAAAAGATCATGATAAGAAAGTAACATTCCGCATATATCTATTTACATCTAACAAGATGACCAAAAATGTAAATTAAACATATTAGGGTATTAGATTCAATGACTTCACTATTTTGATAACTTTGTAACATTAGACAATTTAAAATATAAATAAATAATAAAAATATATTATTTATTGAGAGATGAAATCCCTAACCCTCTCATGATCAACCTACTATCGAAGACAGTTCTCTCCTGGAGGTCTCCAACCTTTGCTAACTTGTTTTCATCACCAGACGTATGTGTCTCTGCTTATACACATTGCATGTTCTCATGTCCAGTTCTCAATATATATGTTACATTTTTCATTTTTGGTGTCAATTCCATTGATAAGAACTGGTTCAATAAACTGCAATTTTTTATTTTGATTGATTAAAGATAGAAGAATATGAACATTGAGAGGTTTTTAAATAATCATCCTATTATTATTCTTAGCCAATGTGAAGGAATAAGGGATGGACTTTATACATAGCAAGGTGTAGTTTATGCTGTCCTTTTATTTGTGTTGTATCTTTCCTTTAAATTTTGATTTCGGATAGAGACATGTTATGTTCTTTTGGTTGTTCTTGATTAATAAAACAAAATAAAAGCATCAAGACTTTAATGGATGCTATAAAAGCTACAAGCAATGTCTGTAAGGGCAGATAAACTGAAGCAAGCATTGACCCTCCTCTATAGTTAAAATGAAAGTTCTACGGACTTCATCATGTCAAAGTAACTAATGGTAAACTCCTACTAAGAACAACTCACTACAAAACTAAATGATAATAAACTCTAACTAACTAATTCACAACATAATTCATATTCTGTAACATGAAATGACCCCATGCTAATGAAAGATGCAGATTGAGCAATCAAGTTTGACTTGCGAACCGAGTACAAAATACTTTGAGCCTCACCAATGGAATTGGGCTCCCAAGCTTTGGGATCCTTCACAAGAAATGCTGCAATTGTCCCAAACTGCAAAATACTAAATAAGCAAGTAAAAGCAGAAACAGTTTCAGAACAAATGCTTGCATCACAATCCAACCAGACCAACTCAAATTTTTAAAGACAACTAAAGGTAAACTTTCAATGATAAATTTCCAACAGAATTCTAGGAAGTCAATCATCATGGATTTGACTGGTGCGCACAAGACATAAACAGCTGTATGATACAGTTAAATACAATTCGAGGGAATATTCTGACTTTTTTTACTAGCAAGTATGTTTGGGATACTACATTGGTAAAATTGAACCAGACTGAAAAAATAATCCCTCCCCCCAGCAAAAACTGAACCAAACAACAACGATTAAAAATAATCCCTCCCCTCCATTCTACTCAACCAAATAGGCCCTTAAGATAAGTTGTATCTTTTTGTTTTCCATTAGACAAAGTGAAGCAGAACATAAAAGAGTTCACCATGCATTGCAAGGATAGAGATATAGGGTGAACAAACACACCACATGTTTGAGCAGTTCATCTATGATTTCCTTATTTCAACAATATTAGCTGGTTAATCAACCTCAATCAAAATGTGTAGAGAATTCATTGATACGCTCATAGTTTGTTCTTACTCACAATTTTTCTTCCTTAAGATTGAAAGATTAACAATAATATCAATTGATATCAGAAGTAAAATTAAGTATACAAATCAATTGCAAAATAATTCATATCTTGTAGGAATTTTGCAAAATAATTCATACCTTGTATGGATATTTTATCAATCCTTGGCCTCTAATATAACCACGACAACCGGTACTATCTTCTAGACGTTTCAAAGGAATGTGCGTTTAATTCTGAATCCTTAACCACGTGCGCCATCCTAGTTATCAAATATCCTTAAAAATCTAAAATTTATTAAATAAAAATACTCAAAATAATTAATTTTAAAAGTAATATCATTATCTAACACCTCATTTATTTAGACAATACTCCGAACAAGATGTATGATACTTTTACAATGATACTTGGTCTAGAAAGTAACAACTAAATCCGCACAAACAAAAACAGCAACATAATAAGCAAAACATTTTCATTTGGGCAGGTAGTGTGAGTCCAAAATCCAAAACATGGTCATATTAATTTGAGACAGTTATTGTTTCAGGTGGTTTGTTTCAGCAACAGAACAGCAGCACCTACTACAAACTTGTTAACTTAAAGTGCTTGAAATGAATTTCTACCTAGTGTTAACATAAGGTATTGACTTAAATCAAGAGAACAAACATTGAATCAATAACACTAAAGTGAAGAATGTGACTTACAGTTGAAACGGCGAGCGAGGAAGGGCGTGAATCGGCCGGTGAAAAGTCGTGAACGGCGTGAACGGCGGCGAGAAGACGTGAAACGGAGGCAAGGAGATGTGAAACGGCGGCAAGGAGACGTAATCAAATTTCAGCAAACCACATCATCTGTGTTCATTATCTATGTTCATCAAACAAATCTGCAAATTCACAACAAACATCATCATCAATGGCGGTCGAAGCAATGGACAACAAACATAAACCACGATGAACAGAAACGGAGATGAACAGAAACAGCGATGAACAAAAACGACGATGTATTATATGGGCGAAGAACAGAAACAGTGACAAACAGAAACGGCGGTCGAAGACGATGAACAACGAAATGTCGGTCGAAGAACTTCAAAGACGATGAACAACGAAATGTTAATGATGGTGGCTGGGAAACGGCGGTCGACGAACTTCAAAGTCGTGAACGGAACTGTCGTATGCATACAGTGAGGCGTATGGGTTGTGAAACGGCGGCAATGAAAGTATTGTACAGTGGAAATATTGAAATATTATGAATTGAAATATTATGAATTTAGGAATTAAGGGTTTGGAACCTATTACATCGGTGGAACCTATTACCCGATGTAAGGGTTTTTACAGTGGAAAAATTATTACATCGGTGGAAACTATTACCCGATGTAAGGGTTTGGAACCTATTACATCGGTGGAACCTATTACCCGATGTAAGGATGTGAGCCTAAGCATTTTTTTACATCGGTTATTTGGTGGACCGATGCAAACGTCTTTTTAATAGTTTTTTACATCGGTTTAAAATAAGCCCCGATGTAATTTTTTTAATATATTTTTGCTTGTTTTTTATTTACATTTTTGCCACCTTGTTTCTTATTTAAAAAAATGCCACCGTATTTTTTTCTGAAAACCTTTTACATCGGTGGATGAGATTGCCCGATGTAATAGGTAGCGAAATATATTTTTTTTCTTATTTTTTATATCATTGCAAATAAATACCTGATGTAAAAAGTTTGTTAATTGTATTTTTTACATCATATATTTTGATACCCGATGTAAAAACCTTTTCTCAAATGTCTTTTTTTTAGTAGTGAACGTTGTTTCTGTATATTGTTTGAAATTTTAAGGGATGGGTTGAGGTTTTAAGATTGTATGAAAATTGATGTCCAAAAGCAGTAGTTGGAGAGTGTATTTATAGATGAGAAAGGGTGTAAATGGGGGGGGGGGGGATTTGATAAATTTGAAACTGTTTTGGCTACTGTTTTATTGCTTTTTGGGTGCAGTTTTTGTTTTGCTAATTCTGTGCAATTGTTGGACTGATATGGTGCAGATTTTGGCATGTTATGGAATGCTTGTAGTATAGGGCAGCTGTTGTACCCCAAAATTTTCCCTCTTCATTTTACTTTACATTGCTTGTGTTTCATCATATGCGTTAATGTGCTTATACAAGATCAAAGTTTTCTTCAAGCAGTAGAATTAGATTATTGACAATCAATCCGAGATAGATCTCATACCCTATTGGTTCGAGCTACTAAGACCTCTAAGGCTTTGTGACATGTCAGGTTGAATCTTTGTTTCATCAAGAGAATCTAAGTTTGTAATGGTTTTAAAGGCTCGAGTATTTAGAAGTTGAGATTATTGAAGATTTTCTATTTCATTAAGCTACAAGGCTTTCATCTTCATATTTTTTTCAAAAGATTTAGGGTTTTAATTGCAAGGCTAGGGCATTACTGTTTGAGAATGTTGTAAATACAAAGCACGATACAAGTGATGAAATTGGTGTATTCATGTTGTGATCAAGGCAGATTTGTCATTTCAATTACAAAGTCGTCTTGGATTATGAGAATTTGAAGTTAAGGATGCAAGAGATTTTAAGTTTGTGAATGAGATTTGAAATTTGAGTTTCATTTGATCTTATGTCATAAAGTCTAAAATTCCAATTCCAACTTAAAATATTCAAGGATTCAAAGTCCATATTATTCTTTCATCATCCATTCCAATCTTCATTCAAATCAAACAACTTCTACAAAGTTTCATTCCATTTTCAAATATCATTCAACACATTTTGGAAAGTTATTGTTCAAATACATTCAAAATGACTACAAAGTTTAAATTCAAATACAAGTTTGTCTTTCAAAAAAAGATAACTCAAATTCCTAAACTTTCTAAGTCCTAAGATTCTACTTCTTCACTTCTTCGAGTTCCCTCCAAGATTTTATGTCAAGCCACGACCCTTTCTTCCAAATTGCCTTGCCATCTTCATCCATTCCTCATCAACCATACATGAAACAAAAATAAAACAAGGGTTAGTAGCAATTCAAAGTGAACAAAAATTACAACATGCTTTTAACTCATCATTAGGGTGGTTTATGGAATCTGAAAAAGAAGGATGTTTCATGTGCTAAAGCCTCATACAATTGTGTTTTATCATGGGCCAAACTCTACTGCAAATCACAAAGTTTTGTTTGGTTCACAATAGAATAAAAAAGGTGCGACACAGAATTCAAGCCCAACCGAAAAAAACAAGCCTCATACAAAGTCATAATGACATCATTGGATAGGAGTAGTCTTTTGCAAATCTCAATTAATATGGTTCACAAAAGATAAAGAAGAAATCAATGAAAATCAGAACTAGCATCATGTGTTCACACAAGAAATCACAAGCCTCATGTTGTTTCAAGTCAAAAGAAAAAACCAGAATTTGTAAAATCAAATCACAAGCTAGGAAATTGTACTGCAAAATCTCAAAAGACCATGCGTTTTGATTAAACAAAATCAAGTTAGCAGAGCCACAAGCAATCCATACAACAAAATAAAATACAATAATTACAAAGCATGTACAAAGAAAAGCAAGTACAACATCATAAGCAACCAGTACAACCAGCAATAAGTAATCAAGTACCAAAGTCTGAGCAAAGCAAAGTCAGAGGCAACAAAGTACAACAAAGCAAGCTTCCCTCAAGTAAATATCAAAAATTGTTACAGAAAACTAAGCAAAGTCAGCAAGCAAGCCACGGTATAAAACTAGCACAGAAGTCACAAAAATAGACACAGAATATACAGAGGCATAACCGAAACATCAACAACAAGAAAACCTTTCAAGATTTTGTTCATAGAGAGATAGAAAGATTATATAGAAAACTCAGTCACAAACCCAAACATCAAAACCCTAAGCATTTGTTTCATCATTTTCGCAAAACCTAACAACCATTCAGAGTTCGTAAAAAGAAGAAGATTGGAACAAACTCACTCAAAAATCAAACTGGTAAAAATATAAATTGCACGAGATATTCCTCTTCTTTCTGTTATATTTTCTTGTTCTTCATTTTTGTTTCACTGTAAAAAATCAAGCAAACAATAATCAAAAGCTCTGAACAAAAGCTAAGAAACGAAACTGAAGGAAAAAAGTGAAACATAGAGAAGCTCTTGATGTCCGCCGAGGGAGACGAGGAAGAGATAGCAAGATCACAAAGAAAATGAAGCTCATCATTGATGAGAGAGGCGCTGCCTCTTTGGAAATCTAGGGTTTCACAAACCCTTGTGTTTGTTATTTCATAATATAAGAGGTGGGTCTTGGGTCGACCAGGTTCGGCCTAAGTTCACCATATTTTTTGTATCTCGACTTAATACATTCTTTTTTATATATATTATTTGAGTTGTAATATTTATAGATGAAACGGCTTGGCACGATGGTGAAGGTATGACTTAGACAATGTGAAGACAAGGGTTCAAAACCCCCTGAGACCACTTTGTTACTTTTGTTTTCTTTTGTTATTCATTTTTTGACACTTTTTGTGTTATTGGGCTTAAGTCTCCAGCCCAATCTCTTCACTCACACACGCGCCCCCCTGTTACTTAGAACATCACGCAGGCCCAACACTTTTTTTTGGTCTTTATTTACTGTTTACAAAAATTCCTTTTGGGCCACAAAACAAACTGTTTTACTATTAAGTCCTCCCTCTTCATTTTCACACCCTAACCTAATTTTATTTTATTCTTATCTTTTTTTATTTTATTTATATCTATTATTTAATATTATTATTATAATTAATATTTTCATTAGTAAAAAACACAAAAATATTTATTTATTATTTAGGTAGTAATATATTTTATTTTATTTATTTCTAAACTAAAAAGACAAAAAAAAAAACATTTACTTTCCGCAATTTATCGCTTTCATATAAATGCTAGTAAATTAGGGTTTGTATGGAAAGAAAAAATCAATGCTTAGAAAACCCTAATTCAAGACAAAACAATGCATAAAATCAAAATACTTGTATCTCTAGGGTAAATCACACTTGTTTCCTCAAATAAAAATAGTCATGTCCCTCGAATGTGGGATACTTTAACAAATGACCCTCAAATACAAGATCGTAGTCCCTCGATGACCCTTCAATGTTGTCTTCAGTAAAAATGATCTTAGACCCTTACGACAAATTGCTAAGGTATCCTACAATGTTGCCTTCTCTGACTATACGATGACCCACGCTCGTCCCTTCACAATCAATGATAGGTCTTCTTATCAATCAATGGTAAGATAGAAATATCAAAAGGAGGAGGAAATGAACAAAGAATTTTTGTGTAGGTAGAACGTTCATAGTTGCTTGCTCACAATCATTCTTCAAAACATCTTTCAAAAACACACCAACACTTTCAAACATGAAATATTTTCAAAAGTTAACACTTTGTATACATTCTTTTAGAGACGAGAATCATTACAAAGTTCGCCTAAACGAAGGCACTTTTCAAAAAAAAAATCACAAACACATTTCAATCAAAGCATTTCAAAGTACGCTAGCAACTAAGAGCCCGTAGATAACTATAGATGAAAAGGGTGCTAACACCTTCCCTTTTCATAATCTACCCCCCGAACTCAAGAAAATATCTCAAAAGGTCTTTCCTGTTCTTTTCACCCTTTCCTTTCTTGGAAAAAAGAAAAGTCTTTGGCGACTCTTGCTATCCGTAACAATTACGATAAAATGCAAAACACCCAAGTAAGTTCTCCCACCGTATTACAAAACTGGCGACTCTGCTGGGGAAATGAACTTAAAAGTGGGGTTACCTTAGAGCTAGATCACCTTTAAAATGATTTCATTGTCTGATTTGTTTAATTTACATTTACGGGTCCTTGTTTGGGTTTATGTTGATCCTCTACCCAGATCTAGGAACATCATTAGGTAAATAGAAAAAATTATAAAGATTGTATGGCATAGACCGATATGGTTGAGACAATAGCTATGTTAGTATGACATATTTGTGGGTACAGGTATCCCTTATGGAGAATTAAGGAGAATACGGGGCCACTGAGCAATGTCATGAAGCACTAACGAACCTTAGAACCCTTAATTAAACAACTTGGCCATTAGGAAGTAGTGAGATAACTGGATTTGGTGCAGTCCGAAGTTGGTTAATACTCGATACTACGCTCTTTGAGATCAGACATTCGGGATATTCCGGTCGCAATAAAGAGGCTTGTGCTGAAATAATGCCTGTTGTACCCCAAAATTTGCCCTCTCAATCTTCAAGGCCTTTCTCACAAGGATTCTCAAGGTTCAAGCTTGCACAAGTACTTTGGAATTTTCCAATACCAAAATTAAAAGGAAACTGTCAAAAAGGGAGAAAACAAATAGAAATATGATTTTGACAAATTTGGAGAAATACAAGTGTTCTTCGTTTCAGCTCCTTCGATTGGCCTTTTAGCCTCTTTTGATACAGGCTTTGGTTGCATCCTTCGACAGGGCGATGGCCTTTGGCACGCTGGCTTTAATTTACAAGGCAGGAGTTTCCTACATGCCACCTTCGATTGCATCTCTGGCCGTACCGGGTTCACAATGCCATGACTGCCTATTGCATGTTTCGTTTGGATGTCTGATGCTTGCATGCCTATACAAACTTTCCCTCCATACTTTCCTTGACTCATAAAGTAATGACTAGTTACATACAAACTTTCATTTGAGCCACAACTTGCATGCAAAAGGCATCCCCCTTGCTAGCATGCACAAGGTACAAAGCCTCTTATAACTTCCTTTGATTCCAAGGCAAAAATCTCCCTTTTGGTGTCCTTCGATTTGCACATTTTTGCCTCATGTATGCCTCTTTCGAATCTGGAAATTTTGCCTCCTGCATGCCTCTTTTGTTTGGGCATGTGGCTCCCTTCGTGCAAGTCTTTGTTTGAGCATTGACCTTTTGTGTGCTTGCTTGGAGTCATAAAGTTTAGACCTCCTCCATGCAGGCTTCGACAAGACATTGACTATGTTTGTACTAGCTTCGACTGGACAACATTTCTCTTTAGTATGTTGCATTTCCATCCTTTACAAACTTCAGCACATGGTTGATGGCCCCTTCAAAAGACATATAGTGGTGGACTTGAGGGGAATACATATGAGTCCCTGTCGAAGGGTACACCTTACTAGTCCATTCGAAGGACACATTTGTCCCTTTTCAAAGAAGCATACATGATCCATTCAAGGGACATGTCTCAGAATCCCATTCGAAGGACATGCTTGAGAGCCCATTCGAAGGATTTAAAAAGCCCACCTTAAGGCATGTTTTGGTTACCCATCCAAGGGGAACACATTTGGCCCCTTCAAACGATGCACAAAGGTGATTCGTTCGAAAGACACTTGTTGGAGGAAAGTCAAACAATATGTTTGGACGAAGAATCTGGTCGAAGGAGGGTCAAAATGAAAGGATGAAATATTCAAAGATGCTTGCTGCCATGTTCAGGCATGGTACACTGGTTAAAACTGCTGCACAACAGTCTTGGAACACTGCCCCATTCTTGCACCGAAATAGCATACAAGCACTGTCCCTCGAAGGCTACAAAGAGCAGTTTACTCAAATTGTTCAAATTATTTTGTTTTCCCTCCAAAAGCTTCAACCAACTTTGCCTATAAATAAGAGGCTCCAACACATGTTTAGGAGGACTTTTTGGCCAGGGGAACGAATCTTCAAAAAAATTCTCAAACACCATAAAGCTCTCAAACACTTAAACACTCATCAAACACATACCCAGAATCCAAACACTTATCCCCTTAGAATCTAAAACATCCATATACCTTGTTACCCTTCGAATCCAGTAGGAAGAACCTCACACTTGTTCTTCTCTTTCGAATCCAGTATCAAAGACATAACCCCTGGTTCCTCCCTTCGAATCCAGAAGCATTCAAGGAAACCACTTAAAGGCCCAGCACACGTTCCAGCCTCAAGCAAGGTAAGTCATTCTTAACCTTGAACCCTTCATTTCTAGCATAACATGTAAATAAGCTTCCTTTTCGTTTCAAACATGTACGTAGTGTTTGTTACCTTTTCGTTTCCACCCTTTTAGTTTGTTTTTATTGCTTCTCCTTTTGGTTTTGCTCTTTGGTTTATTACAAATGCTTTAAGAACTAACTTGTCCCTGAGGTAATGATAGCATGGCCTTAGGCCATGTTGTTATTTAATATCTCAAACGAAATACACAGGAGACAGGAGTATGAAACGAAGCCTCAGGCTTCCTCACTGACTCCAGGCCCAATCGAAGGAGGCAGAAAGGCAGATTACATCTTATACTGTTTCCACTGGTCCCAATCGAAAGGCACAACATGCTGTCCCACTGGTCCCAATCGAAAGGCACAATATGCTGACCGTGAGGCCTCAGTCGAAAGTCATGCCTTCACCCTTTTCAAGCCAAATCGAAGAGAGCCAGAAAGTGTAGAATCAAAGGGTTTTCTGCCTCAATCAAAAGACCCTCATTTTTCTTGCTTTTATTTTATTTTTGCCTTTATATTTTCATGCAATTCAATATGGTTGTAATAGTGTAGGATTTTATCTTTCTGTGCTTTATTACTTTTATATGCTTGCTAGTAAATAGGATATGTATGGCCAGATAAAATCAACAAGTAGACAATCACTAATAAAAAACAAAGCATGAAAATAACACACATGCACACTTGCACCCCTAGGGTTTCAATCCACTTGTTGCCTTAAAAAATGGGCCATGATATGCATGTCAAGTACTTTGGCAAAAAAAACAAAACAAAAGATCATAGTCCCTCAATGACGCTATCTGAGTTGCCTAAACAAAATGATCAAGTCCCTCAAGAAAATTGCCAAAAATACTTGACACCATTGCTATCATGGTCTATACGATGACCCGCGCCTGTCCCGTAAAACATCCTAACACAAGGTTGTTCACCAAATACAATGGT